AATTATAATTATAATTCAATAAATTAAAAAAATTTATTCCAAAATTGCACGGCGTTCGGTTTGGACTGTCATTAGTTTAATTTTGGTCAAATTTGAAAAAAAAAAAACAATTTTTATGAAATCAACGTTGACTTGGGCTCTCAAGATTTGCATATATATCACGCAATTTTTAGAATTTACATATGAACTTTACTGTTTACATATATATATATATAGACAAAATTAGTAAATTACATAAGAAAAATATTAAATTTTATTATTTATATTGATAAATTGTTAATTCCAGAGGGGGCAATTGCTTAACGTGAACATGAGTTAGTTTTGGCAAGGTAATGAAAATGACATGAAATCTCAAGAAGAAAATGTTCAAGGTTAAATGATTCAATCGGGAATAAATAGGAGGTTGAGCGGGATGAGTTATTAATTATTTAAATTATTTAAATAAAATTTGAATAATAATAATAATAATAATATATTTATATATTTTTTTGTCAATTCAAAAATTAATATTTTAATTTAAAATAACACTTTTGAATATTTTGAATAATTTTCTACATAAAAAAATTTAAGACGTGATGTTTTTCTCTGTTTTTAATTTAAATATCATATTTCTAGTCATCTGATCAAAATCAAAGAGCTAAAATTGGACAATAATTAAATGAGACGGTTCTTTCAGACCTCTTTACCGGTTCACCGGTTCAAATCTGGTTCTGACAGATTCATTAATTCTTGGTTCTATACAAAAGCAATTTTAAGCTTAGACCAAATCGGTTGAATGACTGGTTCACTGTACAACCGATCAATCCGGTCCGATTTGTAAAGCCATGCAAGTTACTTTTTTCGATGCATAAAAATGCATAAATATATAAACTAAACTTTATGTTAGTTACATAGATACATAGAAATTGGATGATATGTATGTAAATGCCCCTTTAATATTCCGAATAAATACTTTTATAAAATGAATTAAAAAAGTACTTTAAAAACACACAATCGTCGTACAGCTTATATATTGAGAACCGATCTTCATCTCTCCCTCGTTCGCAATTGTGAGGAATGGCGAAAAGCCGCGTTGACCTTTTGTATAGACCGGCGAAGAACATACTCACATTTTTTAAGGTCAACGCCATGCAGGGTTAAATTAATATGTCCACGAACATTCAACAGTCCTGCACGATCTCAACAGACAATCAACTTATTGAATGATGCGATTATATATCAATAAATAGTTTGAGGATTGGTTTGGGAGGCAGCTGTAGCTTATTAAAAAACAGTTGTGAAGCTGGTGAATAATAATCTGATGCTTAAAAAGCCGTAATGACTATTACAAATTTTTTTTTAAAGTCAGACCGCAGTTAGAAAGCTATCACCTCACCTAGCTAGGAGTGGTGGGGAAAAACAGATTTCATTACCAGCTTTTTGAAAAAAAGATGTCAAAACGCAGTTTACCCAAACAGATAAAACTGTAGTGTGATGTCACACAACCACAACACCGCCGCCCCAAATGGACCCTGATAGTGGCACAGGTAAGTACATCAGTTTGATAGTTCAAAACATTCAACTAGGAGATTAATTTGTAAATATCAATGTTTTGGATGATCTAGATGTAATTATCCGGACTATTTAATATACATATATAGGAATGTTATCTTCTAATAAATATTAATTTAAATTAGTAATATGCATAAATCTATGTTATTATTATTATTATTTTTTAAAGACATGCATATACAATCTAAACATTCTTTATTTTAGTGCTTCAATTCATAGCAAAAATTAGAAAAAAAATATATAAATAAAAATCAGTAGTGGTCGGATTCGAGTGCTCACCCTATACATTGCTTCAATCAAAGGTATGACTCAATTCAATTTTAATTTGACTCAGCCTTGATTAATTGGTCAGCAAGTCAAGTCAGACTAAAGACAAAAGCTAATTAACTTTTTTAAGCAAAATTTAAGGTCTATTTCAGGCAGCTATAACCTCTGTAAAAATGATTATAGAGTAGTTGTCATACATTTAGCATAAGCTTTTGTTGAAAAATTAAACAATTGTTGCCACACATTTAGCATTTCTAATTATGAAAAACAACTTCAAACCACAAAATTTTTTTAAAAAGGTGATAATAAATTAGTAGCCTAACGAGCGTGTGACAACGACTAGAAAAGCAATAAAGTATATAAAAAAAGAATTGCTCTGAATCCTTGGTCTTTTGATTAAGCACTTAAAACCTAATAAAGTGATAGGATTCTAGAGTTAGATGTGTTTAGCTCTATCATATCACATAATATTGATGTTGTGCATAGAAAATGTGCCAGCACAAATTTCTGGAAGATCCAATGGCCCAAAAAGAAGCAAGTACCACAAAGAATGACCCACCACAAAAGACCAAGGGGCGCCGCTTATCCTATTAGATGTAGTCATCCAAGCTAAGAATAAAAACCAATCGAGCCACGAGAATGACAAAAGGAATGATCCGAGTCTAGGTTGATCATACTTGAATAGGCATATCAGCACCCAACTTAAATGGCACAAGAAAGCTGAGCAAAGGAATTAACCTACCTCTTAACGGATCCAACCTGAGGAAAGAATTCAATTCCTCACCATCACTAGATGTCACACTGACACCTTTGAGATCCCTCATCAGGGACCAAGAATCGGCAGTGCAAACAAAGCCTCACAATTGTCTCGAAACACCTCCCTCATTAAGGACTGAACTATCTAACGAGTTACAGTGATCAAACTTCTGCTCACAAAAAGTCTTTATCAAGGGACCAGGGTCAATAGTCAGACTAAAGCAACCGATCGATAAAGTATAGTCGACCGTGCCAGTTCTACAAACTCAAAGCTAATCAAATCTAGTCGTCCAACTGCACCGACTCTTCAAGCCCACCAAAATGGGACTTACAGAGCCGAAGTCATGCTAGCCCAGTCGTCCAAATCATAGGATGGCCAAGCAATAGACTCACATATTTAAAATACCTAAAATATTTTATTGCAACCCCATTGAAAGAGCAGAAATATAATATCACGTATTGTATTCTGTCTCTTATAAAGAGAGAAAATCATTTTATGAGAAAAAGAATAGCAAAATGTTTTAATGTTCATTCTCTCTCTCTCTCTCTCTCTCTCTATCTCTCTCTATCTCTCTCCTTTTTTATGATCTGACCATTGGGGGGTGTGATTCACCAAACAAATTAGGATTCAACAAATTATATACAGGGGCACCCGAAACATTGCTATTTACAAATCAAACACTCTCTTTTACCCCCTCTCTCAAATTCTCACTCAAACATTAAAATTCACAATAAATCCCAACCCATATTTTGATTGTGGCATGATTAAAAGATCACTTAAATGCTTGATTTATAAATATCAATATTTTAGGTGTTCTCTGCGTAATTATCCTTAATTTTTTTTTTTGCTCTTCAAAATATTAAAATTAAATTGTTTTGACATAAAATACCGCGTGCCAACGGCCAGTCAGAAGACCCACAATTTAAATGTGACGCATGCAAATATTATTCGTCCGGACAATATCTCTAAACTCTAACCACTGGACTCCACCGCAAGATATTGTTCCAGAACCCCAACAAAATTAAGGTCAACTAACCCGCTCACAAGTCAAAATCAATTTTTGATTCAAATCAGGTTTAGATGGACACAAAATGACCTAATTAACAACTGGTATATGGATGGATTTTCAATTATTTCTAAAATATTTCACAATTAAATTAAAATAATACGCATATTTATCATGCATTTATTATTGAAGTGTCTCTACATGGTGAATGTCAAATTATGAATCTATTAGCTAAGATTTTGTCGATCTTTTCAAATCAAGGAAAATATTTGATTATAGCAAGATTTACATCCATGCCACACAATTCTCATGTATTTGCATATCTAGCTCCTAACATTTCATAATTACATTTATTACATTATGACAAGGTGTATCTCACCTTAAGATGTTAGTAATAATTGCATATATATATATATATATATATATATATATATATATAAAAGAATTGTGTGGTATGTATGTAAATGCCCAACAAGAAGAAAATAAGGACATTAATTTAATGTTTACTTGCAAAAGCTTGTCTTATCCAAAACAATTCTTCTTCCAATTGCAGCACAGGATCTAGCTTCACTTTCAGAATTGTGGCTGCTGTCCCTGCTCTGGGAGTTTAGTCCCCACATCTTCTGCCTTTACACTTTATGCTCCTGCTGCTGCTGTTCCTCCTGTGCTCCTGCTGCTTATTCTGATACATCCCTCTCCCACTTTTTGAAGATATCCTCCACTATCTACAGCCACTCTCTCTCTCTCTCTCTCTCTCTCTCTCTCTCTCTCTATATCTATCTATCTATCTCTATCTGTTTCTCTCTCCCCTCTCCTCATGAAACTACGTCCAGGCCCCCACCCATCTTCAACCTTGGAGGTGGCTAGGTGGAAGAAACAATTGCCACACCAAGTGGTCCACCCATGGGGCTTCATTCATTCATCTGGCTGAGCCTCAATATTGTTCTCAGGTTCCTGCTTTATGTTGATGTAGAAATACTAGTAGTTGGCCCTCGCTCATAAAAAATTAATCTTTTTAGAGAAAAACGAGCTTCAGAACAGTGGATTTGATCCCAACTTTGTTCCTCTTTTGAACCACAATTTGTACAGAAAAAGTGGCAGTAATGGCAGTTATAAGGGGATTGTGAAGTGTGAGGAACATGATTGTGAGAGATAATTCCTTCCCTTTCTCGTTTAACCTTTTAACCATAAAGAAAAGAGGAAAAGTTAGTGAAGGTAATAAAAGGAGAATTTTTTTTTTTTTTTTAAAAGAGATCTTTAACGCATAAACAACTGACCAAACAGGTGGGTCGGTCGTTCAATGGATTCCTCTCACGTTACATAGATAGTTGACCTTGTCTCCTCCTCCCCCTTTAAAATCTCCCTCCATCCCTCTCTTCAAACCAACCCCAACCTCTCTGCCTCCTCCTTCCCTCTCTCCACTCCACCGCCATGAAAGCATCTCCAATCCCACAGCTCCTCGTGGTCCTTCTGCTTGCGAGCATCAACAGCAGAAAGTCAGACCCGGATGCTTCCAACACAGCCTCCTTCCGCAGCCTAGCCATCGACGGCCAATTCACCTCCCATGATGTCTCGAAAGCCGCCGTGGACTTTGGAAACCGATACCACTTCCTGCCTTTGGCCGTTCTACACCCGGGCTCCGACACCGATATTGCCGCAACCGTGAGGCATGTCTTCCAGCTTGGCCCGAGCTCGAGGCTCACCATTGCCGCTCGTGGCCACGCGCACTCGCTTCAGGGCCAGGCTCAGGCTGCCGGCGGCATTGTCGTGCGCATGGAATCCCTTGGAAAGGCGAAAACCATGCGGGTGCACGCCGGAGAAGGCCCATACGTCGATGCTCCGGGTGGAGAGCTGTGGATTGATGTTCTGAAAGAGGCTCTGAGGCAAGGGCTGGCGCCAAAATCGTGGACTGATTATCTCCATCTCACCATTGGAGGCACCCTGTCTAATGCCGGGATTAGTGGTCAGGCTTTCCGGCATGGCCCCCAGATCAGTAATGTCCACCAGCTCGAGGTAATCACAGGGAAAGGAGAAGTTTTGAACTGCTCTTCAACCAAGAATGCTGAGCTCTTCTATGGCGTTCTTGGAGGTCTCGGCCAATTCGGCATCATCACCCGAGCTAGGATTGCGTTAGAGCCGGCGCCAAAGATGGTAAACTTAAGGGAGCTTCTATAAATTCCAGAGTCTGCAAACTCAACATTGGTTTTAAATTGCTGCAATGATTATCGTTGCAGGTAAGATGGATTAGAGTTCTCTATTCGGACTTCGCCAGCTTCACGGAAGATCAGGAGAAGCTCATCTCAGCCGAAAGGACCTTCGACTACATCGAAGGCTTTGTGATCATAAACCGAACAGGGATTCTCAACAACTGGAGATCCTCCTTCAATCCACAGGACCCAGTGCAGGCCAGCCATTTCAAATCCGAAGGTAAAACTCTTTTCTGCCTGGAGATGACGAAGAACTTCGATCCTGAATATCCTGAGAAAATGATGCAGGCAAGTAAAAGGCCTGCTTTCATGAACAAAGTTTGAAGAAAATTCTGCTTTTCTATATCTAAGAGAGTGTAGCACTGATATGCAGGAAGTTGAAGAGCTCCTATCCCAGCTTCGATATATTCCATCAACGCTCTTCCAATCCGAAGTTTCGTTCTTGGAGTTCCTCGACAGAGTCCATGTTTCTGAAGTGATGCTGCGGTCGAAGGGTTTGTGGGAAATTCCGCACCCATGGCTTAATCTTCTGGTACCCAGAACCAAAATCCATGCCTTCGCTGAAGAGGTTTTTGGAAAGATCCTCACAGACAGCAGCAATGGCCCAATACTGTTATACCCATTGAACAAATCCAAGTATGCTCTCTGTTTCCTAAACATGATACAGTCTACACTACATGCCCCCATGAACATCTAAAGCTGACTCATTTTTATTCTTCTTCTTTATATAAGGTGGGATAACAGGACATCAGCAGTTTTTCCCAATGAAGAAGTGTTCTACTTGGTGGCTTTTCTTTCTTCTTCACCACGTTCTTCAGGTCAAGATAGCTTAGCTAAAGCATTGAAACAGCAGGAAAGAATCTTAGAATTCTGCAAGAAGGCTAATATCCAGATGAAGCAATACTTGCCATACTACACAACACAGGAAGAATGGAAGATCCACTTTGGGCCGAGATGGGAAGAGTTTAAGCAGAAGAAACAGGCTTTTGATCCCCTGGCCATCCTTGCACCAGGACACAGGATTTTCCAAAAGGCAGTAGCTTCTTTATGACAGTTGACTACCCTAAAAAACACATATCTGTACAAAAGAATAGCCATAGAAATATATATATTTTTTTTCATATTTTTGCAACACCTTGACAGCCTGAAAGAAAAGGAATGAGTATGGGAGCAATCCAAAACTGATCCTGGATGATATATTTGTCCAGTTGCAGAGAAAAAAAGCATAAGAAAATTATATGAAAAGCCGAAATCTTTGGACTGGGATGTAAGGAAAAGGACTACTTTGGGGGGAAAAAACAAGAGGCATCAACATCAGAATGGACAATAAACAACTGGGTTTCTAACAAGATTTAGAGAACACTCGGTACAAAAATTGTTCTTTGCATGCAAAAACAAAAATTCCAAAGAGCGCCAGGTGTTAGTTTCTGTAGAATAGTTCTAGAACAGTAGAAAGATCAAGCCTAGATGAGTTTAATCAGCCACATTAGAAAGATGTAAAGTAGTATTTTTGCTAAGTTTTTTTGTATAAGATTAATCCAGTGTGTCATCATTATTAACTGTATGGCAAACAGTAACTGTTAGTAAGAACGGCATGAGAGCATGAAATACCTTATTGCAGCTAATCAAAAGCAGCAGGTCTTTCTCCTAAAATGCTGAGAAATAAAACAAGGAAGATTTGCATACATGCCACTCAATTTTTATGTATTTATATATCTAACACCTAAGCTTTAATTTTTGCATATATTCCATTTTGCCAATGCATGAAATTGTGTATTTCAATTTTTAAAAGTTCAAAAAGAGGTATTTTTTATTTTATATGAAAGACTTGGTATGAATGTCAAAGCAAAGTTTATGTGTTAGATACGTAAATATATAGAAATTGGATGGTGTGCATGCAAATGCTCCAAATAAGAGTTGGTGAAAAATGAAAAATACTGAAAAAGCAAATGGATTTCCTTTGGCCACGGGGGCTGTATTGAGTGGAGATACTGGCAACTAAGAGAGTTGATCGACCAAACGGCAGAATGATATTCTTTGTTTCTCTTGGCTGTGAATAAATGGCTGAATCCAACTGGGACTTATTTCTTAAAAATAGAACTAAAATAAGAGAAAAAAAAATCAAATGAAAATAAAAAATGTCTTATGAAAGAATGATATAGCAGAAAGCATGCCTCAAATTACGTGAATTATGGTTACAGAACTGTCATTTTACAGATATAGTGATTGTGGAAATTAGCAATAAGAACAACAACAAAGAAGAAAACATTTAATTTTGACAATTTTTCGTCTTCAAAAAGAAAATTCTATGATGAACCAATAACAGAAGTCAGATTGTTTAAAGTTCCACATAAAATGCCAATCCACCTGCACTAGACTGAAGAAAATTAACATCTAAAGATTTATTGTTAGTTCATGTGCTTTAAATTTGATAAAAACGAAGAAGCTTGCAGTAAAGCCATAACCTACTGTGTCAGGTCACCTGAATTTCAATAAGGGTTAAAACTTGATTCATCTTAACTTATTCTCTAATAATCGGTAACTATACTCTCATTACTTTCCTTCAACACATTGCATACAAATTAATGAGATGCGCAATTCACCTTCATGTTCTAACTTCTCAAAATTAACCAAAAAAAATTTAAATTATTGTAAATAGTTTTAACGGCACATGGTATTAGGCTTATCACCAAAGGCAAACCATAGATGACCTTTCTAAAGCCAATTGGCAATAAAAGGAGCAAACCATGCAACACGCTTGAACGATCTTAGGAGGCCAGCGCTCAAAGATGCAATCATTAAGCGTTTGCTCATATTAACTAAGTATGCTTACTCTTAGGTTGTCTCAATGTTGACCTCATTTTGAGGTCATTACTCTTTTCCTTAGGATCCTAGGATCTAGCTCTAGGGGTTCCTATTGACTATCTTAGAAAACTAGTATTGAAATTCATCCCCTTAGAAATTTCAGCCACCCCCTATTTCTCTTGTGGTGTCCCACATTGATGATCTCAAAACCATCGTCGTATGCTCGAGTGGTTAAGGACTATTATATGGAGACTCAGGGAGAAGTTCCTAATAGGATCTCAAGCGCTAGGAAAATTTCTTCAAGACTTTATCATCACACACACACACAAACACACAATTCACTAAGTTGAACAAAATCGGACTAAAATTGAACTTAAAGGATGCGTGAAAATGCGGGCTTCTCCGGACGACCTCCGACGACAAAATGGACAATGCCAACGCTTCCTGGACATCAATTTTAGCGAGAAAAGACACCTGTATTGCTATAATTTTTGACACAAGCAAATTGCACGAAAATCGATGAATTCGTTAAAACGACCTCCGACGACGAAACAGACAACGCCAACTCGTCCGGAACGTCAGAATTACCTATATAAGAACATTCATTTTGTTATGCTGTGACACACGAATCAAATTTTATTTTTGTAATATTAAATATTTTATATTTATATTACTAATTATAATAATACTTATAATTCTAAACCCTATTTATCCCTTTACCCGCATACTTAGGCCCCATTTGATCCCACGGCTCGCTTGGCTCGCCCCCTCTCGTGCGAACCCTAGATCTCGCGAGCGATCCACACTGCGATCTCTCTCTCTCTCGATGCTCCAATCGTGGGAGCTCGGCTGGCCGACCCTTCTTCTCGAGGCTTTACTTTCTCCTCCTTTATGGTGACGATTCACTCCTGTTATTTGATTTGACCACCAGTGAGGCTAGTAGGTGGTTGTTCCCCTCTCATCTCTGCCTATAAAAAAGTTTCATAGAATACTGTTTTGGGTCATTGCAAATTTTGAGAGGGAAAGGAAGGCTGAGATTGTTTTGCTAGTTGTTGTTTAAGGCTCTTAGGAGAAGGCTCTGCCGAAATTCCTTCTCGGCTAGATTCTTGTGTGCTGAAGTGTTCGTTGGTCGTTGTTTCTCGAAGCTTTTAGGAGGAAGGTTTCTGTAGGAGGTGTTTTCTTGAATCTGTCTTACAGTTTTGCTTTGAGTCTGCGTTAAAAGATATTTCTCTTCTTTCCTCTAATTTACACCATTTCAGATGACATCTAAAAGAATTTCTTTTCTCTTTTCCTTTCTCTTCTAAAGCATGTAGAAACAACATTTGGGCTTGTTTTGAAATTTAAGCATACATAGTCCCTGGAAACATTAAAATGGAGCATAATATGACTGTCTTCTTTTCTTTTTCTGCTCAAGATACATGATGAATAAGATTTCTTTTTGGAAAGTTTTAGTTGTTATTCTATGGAATGCATGCTAGGAAGAAAAATGCAAGGTTGGAGCTTTTCTTTTATATATATTTATCCAAGTGGATGTTAGAATTAGTTTCAATACTGGATAATATGTTGACATTAGGAATTCGTTTATACTTATTCGTTCCCTGTTACTTGTTATTATTTGGAACATGTATTGGATGCAATACTTTGAAATATAAGGCTTCAAGAGACTTGATTTTGATAGCCTTGTTTTGAACCATTTGTTGGGCGGTTTTGATCTTTTTGGAATGGATTTATGCTGGAATTTGTCTTGACCCATCTGTTGGGATTCAGTTTTAGTTCTTTTGGAAAGAATAAATGCTGGAAATTATTCCCTGTTTTGACCCATTTGTTGGGTTCGATTTTGATCTTTTTGGAATAGATTCATGTTGGAAACTGTCTTGACTGGAAACTGTCTATTCAGTTTTAGTTCTTTTGGAATGAATAAATGCTGGAAATTTTCTCTATTTTCCCATTTTGTTGGGTTCGGTTTTGATCTTTTTGGAATGGATTCATGCTGGAAATTGTCTTGACCCATCTGCTGGGATTCGATTTTAGTTCTTTTGGAATGAATAAATGCTGGAAATTATTCTCTGTTTTCCCAGTTTGTTGGGTTCGGTTTTGATCTTTTTTGAATGGATTCATGCTGCAAACTGTCTTGACCCATCTGCTGGAACTGGGTTTTGGTTCTTTTGGAATAAATAAATGTCAGAAGTTTTTTTTTTTTTTTTTTTTTTCTACCATTTGGTTGGGTCCGATTCTGGCTCTTTTGGAATTGAATTATAGCTGGAGGTATTCTTTTTGTTCTTGCTCCTCTGCTGGGCTCACGTTTACCTGTTACAGATAGTTTGTTTTGCCTCTTTGTTGAGCTCAGATGTGCCTGTTTTGAATCCTTGTCTTGCTTTTCTTGCTGGGCTCGGTTTACCCCTGTGCTGGGCTCGGTTTGCCTCTGTATTGAACTCGGTTTGCCCCTTTGGTGGGCTCGGTTGGGCTCCTTTTGGGATTGTGTTTTGGATGGAATTCCTTTCTGTTTCAGCCCCTTTGGCGGGCTCGATTTAGCCCCCTATTAGGCTTGGTTTGGTTGGAAGCTCCTCATATAACGTTCTTCCTGAGATTTTTATTGGTAATCAAGTTTGTCATCCCAAAATTCATGATTTCAATATCTACTTCTATATGAGGATGTTTGAAATAAGCTGATCAATTGATTACTATGTCTTGATGAAAATGGCTTCGGTCTGGATGGTTTATAGTAGTTTGTCCTTTCACTCTCTTATGTGTATTAAAAGGGCATAATAATAATGTTGTGGTGGGCTGTTCTTTTGCCGTCCCCACCCATGAGCTTAAATGGTGGTGGTCTCCCTGCCTTGGCCAGGAGCCTTACCTTGTGTTTACTGCCCTTGTGGTCTTCCTTTTGTTGCCCTTACCCGCGGGCTTATTCTGTGGTGGTTTTCTCCTTCTTGGCCCTATCAATGAGCTTAAATGGTGGTGGTCTCCTTCCTGCTGCCTTGGCTGTGAGCCTTATCTTGTATTTACTGCCCTTGTGGCCTTCCTCTTGCTACCCTTACCCGTGGGCTTATTCTGTGGTAGCTTTCACTTTCTTGGCCGTACCCGTGAGCTTAAATTTATGGTGGCCTTCCTCTTATTGCCCCTACCCGTGAGCCTTACCTTGTGATCACTTCGTGAGATAAGTTAGTCTGGTGTTTGTCCCTCTCTGTTTCCCATGGTTATGAGCATTTATATGGTTTTATCTGGATAATTTCATGTTTATATGATATGAAAAGTTTTTTTAATGAATGTTAGAATTAAATGATTTTGATTTTGGCATGATTTTTTGGAAGGCTAGAAGGTTGCCCCCCTATGGATTATTCTCCTTTATTTGTGAAATATGAAAGGTTTTTATAGCTTTATTTTGGGAAATCATAAAGTTGATATGAAACAGATTCATGAAGGGTTTGAAAGCTTATAAAATTGTCATTTAAAAAAGTGTTTGGAGATTCAATATTAAAATTTGGATAACATAGATGTCACATTTCGGTTCAGGCTGGGGTGTGTGAGTACATATAGGTGTTGGAGCCGTGGATACAATTGTTACATTAGTTTTGGACCCATTTCGACCTGTTTGAAACAAAATTTGGAAGAGGTACCTTCTTGGGTTGATCCATTTATAAATTTGAGAAAATGATATCCTTCTTGGATTGATTCAAGGATCTTGAGCTCTCTTTTTGTCACAGTTGAGGTTTGCTCCACCCTTCATCCTTTCGATCTTTTGGGTAGATCAGTTCCTCCTCTCTCTCATCCCTATTTTCATTCTTTTTTTTTCCTTGCTTCTTGGTTCGGTTTTCAGTGCTTATGTCTGACATATAAGTACCCATATATAGTCTTTTGTTATATATGAGACCATCAAACAAG